TTAATAAAATACCCGGCAACCAGAGACATTGAAGAGTGGACGTAGGTCGAACTGATCAAACCACTATAAATTGTCTGTGCCTCTCCATCTCCTGATATTATTTTCTTGCATTTATTATTCACACTTGACAGGTAGTGTGCAAAACCATTTTGTGCATCATCAATACATATCTCCTAAATGTCCGACTCTAAATTATAATATTGACCTCAAATTTATTCACTTTAGAATATATATCACAAATTTTAAATAAATATTACTATTTATAATTACAGATAATATGAATTTGAGTACAAACATAAAATAAATAATAATTGGGTATATGTTTATGGATGTATTATTATTTATTAGTTTGTGTAATAGTAAAAACGATGTAAATAAGAATTTTAAAATAAATTATGATCCAAAATATTGTACTAATTAAATTTATCTTCATCGTGTACTACGTACAGTAACATGCAACTGATATGACTATGGAATCTACATGCAACTGATATGACTATGGAATCTGAATATGTTGAGAGATTATACAAGATAGTGAGCTTTCCTGTCATACGAGCCCTTTGAATTGATGCTACACCTTGCTGGTGATACCCTGCTTTTCTTCAACCCCCATATAAGGAATCCAAATCTAACAGAGCAAGCCAGAAAACCAAAGTCCAAGGACAAAAGAAGCCTTTCCTCCGTTATCACAGCTAATCTTTCTCATACATATATATATTTTTTATTATAGAGTGTCTAAATTTTTGTCAACTACTCCTTCGAACTCTGAGATCGATCAGTGTAATTCGAACTAGTTTAAAGACATATTCCCTAAAGAATAAGGGTGATTGACCCTTAATAAGTATGAAAAGTATTGAACGTAAGACTTCTTTTTATAAGAGAACAAATTTAACCACCAGACTACCCTTAAAGATTATTTTTCTCGTATACTATACCACTTTATTCATATTCTCATCTTCATGTAACCCTAATGAGCTCATAAAGGGTGAAATTGTTTATATAAGATGTTCCTGTCCTTTTTACAGCAAGAGAAACAAGGTCTCTCTCTCTCTCTCTCTCTCTCTCTCTCATCCTGTATTCTTCTTTCTCAAACCCATCTCTTTCAGAGCTCTCTGTTCGTAAAAATGGCAAAAAACATAGGCTTCCTTGTTTGTATCTCGATCATGGCTTTGGATTTCACTGCAGGTATACTCGGTATTGAAGCTGAGATTGCTGAGAACAAGGTATTGACTTTTTCCAAAAATACCATCCTTGTTTTTTTTTTTTTTTTTTACTTTATTATCTCTTTATAACGGTTTCAAACTTGTTACTCCATGTACTATTGTATGCATGAAGGAGCATACATGAAACTCATGCTTTTCAATTAAAAAGCATATTAGCAATATATATATTTTCAATACAAAACCTTAAAAAGTGTCATTTGCAAAGACATTTTTGTATTGAGAAGCCTGGACAAACCTACGTTTTCATATAAACAACGACAATCAATGAAATAAGTACACCATGATCTAAATCGAATAAAGATGAAAAGTGCAGTAGTTTCGAAATGCTATTTAGTGGGGCATCATTCAAACAAAAAAAAAAGAAAAATTGAAGGCTATGGGTATGATTTAGAACATGATCTTTGCTTGGACAGGTCAAACATTTAAAGCTGTGGATATTTGATTGTAGAGATCCAAGCTACACAGCTTTCAAGTTGAGTTTGGCTGCAGCAGTGCTCTTGGCTTTAGCACATGTGATTGCCAATTTGCTTGGTGGGTGCATTTGCATTTGGTCCAAGGAAGAACTTGACAGGGCCACTGCTAATAAGCAATTAGCAGCTGCTTCCCTCATTTTTTCATGGTAATTGTTTGCATCACCATCCCCATATCAAGGATCAAAATTTTTGTTTTGATTGGTAAGCCAAAAATAGAAACATTTTGAAAAAAAAACGGAAAAAGTAAAAAAAAAAAAATTGAAAATCATTTATGAAACATTTGACCAAAATCAAATCAAAACACATAATTTCAATATTCAATCACTGATCCAATTTAAATATTCAATCACTGATTCATTTCAATTTCTACGGAAACCAAACGTTCTGATTGTAAACAAATGAAGTAAAATTTTCTTGTTCATGGATACATCTATCGGGTTATAAGTTGAAATCCTAGACCCATCCCTTCCCTCAAAATGTCATGCCAGTACTTAACCAATGATGCTTTAATCTCGGTGTTGATATGGTGCTAGTGCTTAACCAATTATGCTTTAATCTCGGTGTTGATTCAGGGTTATATTGGCTGTGGCGTTCTCGATGCTAATACTGGGAACACTATCAAACTCGACGTCCAGAAAAGATTGTGGAATATCACACCATCGTCTTATGTCTATAGGAGGGGTTTTATGTTTCATACATGGACTTTTTGCAGTTGCATATTATGTTTCTGCAGTTGCAGCCATTGCAGAAGAAAAGAAGTTGAATCAACACCACCACCAACAAGGCCAAGCTTGATCTTTCCTTCTTCATTATGTACTAACCTGTTATGTTTCCCTCTTGTTATTTCTTTCATCTATCAATGGAAAAAAAAACATGCTCCCATATTTTCATAGTAACTATGATCGAATACCATGTTTCTGGATTCCTTAAAAACTGGATTCATTAACCCGTTAGGATAATTTGGATGTTAATACTTTGGAGGACTGCTTATTTTGGGTAAGAGCAATCTTAACAAAATAGGTGAAGCAGATAACAGCCATATGCAGAAGCCAGACCAATCTAGTATGGTGTTTAACTGCAAATGGAATCAGATAGGGGAAACGGGCGTACAAAAAATGAAGGAAAAAATAACGGCCAAGAACAGCACATAATCAAACAAATTATTCCTACCTCCTCTAATCAGATCACCTCTCTTTGGCTGTGCAGTTTATATCTTCCTAGCTCAAATGCACAACCATAGAATACAACTTTCTTAGATAGTTAGATGTCGACCTTAATCAATGCTTCTAAAGAGCTACTAAAACCGATTTCATCGCTTATTCTTATCGTTTCTTTGCATTACTGCTCATCTCCACCAAACATTTTAGCTACTTTCATCTCAAAGAAACAAATATTACAAAACATTTCATACATACAGTAGGGTGCCACACACTATCTAACAAGTTTCCAACCTTTACCACTTCAGGGTACTCCATTTCATCTAATCCTGGTGGAAGCCCATGGATAACAGTCCTCCATCGTATTCCTTCCTTATTGAAGGGTCAATAATCTACCATTCGTTGCTCTCTTCCATGTGATAATTTCTCTTCCCAACACTATATGAAATAAAATTCAGATGTACCTATGATTAACATATAAATCATAATTCTGAAAAAAAACTCCATAAATCCTTTCTATTGGGTCGTGCGTGGCAGCTGGTTTCAAAATCATACCATCAAGCCGACAATGAAGACAATGAGACAATGACACCACTCTCTAAACATTCCAAATCAGCTCATTCATAACCACGGCAAATGACTAGGCGTTCATGCCAACATCTAAGGAAAGCATTTTCAAATGGAAATTCACTTTTCATCCTACCACCTACTCTAATGCTTATCGCTATTTCCTCATGCAAGTATTTCATCACCTTAATTCCATCACTGTCTCCAAGAGTTCCATATCTCAAGCATACATGCTTCTGGGCAAAAAACTATATATTCAACTTACAAAGATAAATAATCAGTTGAAGGAAAAAATACTCCAACATCCAAAACTGTTATTGTTATTGAGAACACAGACATAGTCCAGCATCAATTATGCAAATAAAAGTAAAAATATCTCTAGATTTGATCTAATAACCGATATCTATGATGCCCACTTCATCTCCAACTCTTCAACTTCCCTTGGGCCACCTTGAATCATTTTTTTCAGTTATAGTTTATCATCAATTCAGCACAAATACAGAAACAGAAGCAAGGTTCCAATAGTTGGGACAAACAGGAGTTCTTATACTTCAGAAGAGAGTTTGAAAATTGGAGTTAGTACTTTTCACTTCAAGTGCCTAACCTTTTTGAGGTGTCCCACCCCCCCCAAAAAAAAAAACCCAAACCCACATCCATACCCAACCACTCTCTGTAGCGATTTTTTGCAGGCATGTTGGAAGCTTTTGTGCATTCAAAGGATCTCTGCTATTATCAAATATGTGCTACATGCCACAATCTGTCTGCCTCCTCTCTCTCTCTCTCCCCCCCAAAAAAAAAAAAAAGAATTACGGCTCGTCTGTTTGACCAATATTTCAAAGTGAGTGATGATGTTTGAACTAAAGTGGCTGGTTTTCATGAAACATTCTATGTTTTGGCTATTGCAAATATTAGTAGCTTAGTTATGCAGGTGGAATCTAAATGGGTTGTATAATCCTCTCAATACTTAATTTGCTAACTACCATAATCTTGAGATTTTTCAGACAATCGATTAAGCACTCCTACATTTTAGCTTAACTTCTCAAATTTACATTTCTAAAAAACCAGTAAGGCATACTGCATAGATACTAATGGATAATTTTTGAATACTACTAGGTGTGAGTGGGGATAAGGTGAATATAAGTTACAAATTTCATGCATTGCACGGGACCACCGCTAGTACAAATGATATACCGAAGAAAAAATTCCCACAAAACAAAGCAAACGGCAGTGCCAAGTCATTACCGAAAATTTGGAAAGCTATCATTCCGATTCTTGATGTCAAGGTCAAATATCAGACAAGATGAACATAAGTAATCAGAGAAAGGTAATCTACGCAATGGAATGAAAAAATACTCCCCAAATAGCATACGCATAATTTTGGCTAAAATAAGACTCATGCATTTGCTGGTTTCTCCCTCCAGTAGAACTCCTTGTACCTGGAGTTGGCTCCAGTTCTCCTCTTACTCTAATTTCTTATCCCTCCAATTAACCCTGATTCATCTCATAGGCTATTCCAATGCCAACAAAGACAGACAAGAGGAAACAACACATCCAGATTTAACCAGCCCGTTTATACTAACATTTCAAACCAGTGAGAAAAAAATATAACTCATCATACTGTGTAAGCAGAGGAGCATGGATGTACAAAGATATTTAGAATCCTCAAATTATGGAAACCAAGATTAGAATATCAAACCTTACAAGCTTCAAAGACATTAACAAAAAAGGGGTCCATAGAAATTAACCATGCGCATATCCCCTTTCCAAAAGATAAATACTAGGCATTCATACTTAGTTAACAGACTAAGTTAATTAATGGGCTCCTATAAACAAAAACAAAAGTTACTTTACCATTCTTGTCCTCAATATTATCCATCACCAACTTAATAACCAGAAATTACCTAATGCCCTGACTTCAGTGCTTCCAATACCATCTTTGTCTGCTCGCAAATCAACTCTGCACGCTTCAAGTAAAGCTCAACACTCTCAACATGAAGCTTCTTCCACCTCTCCTCCAACTCAACCTTCTTCGGCCCCTTAATCAACTCCAATCCACTATTTACGATCTCCTCTTCCAGAGCCCTATCCCCAATCCCTCTGCAACTCAAAAGCGACCACAAAGGCGCCTCATTGTGCTCAACCTCCATCTTTTCCACATTTTTCTGCCCATCAGACAACAGAGTGTCATTCACTTTTTTCTCCTCCACTTTAGGAGTAGCCATCGAGGCCTTACCTCTTTGGCTCTGATTCCTTCTTGCAGTCCCATTAATTTTGGAAGAATTCTCGATTGCTACACTATTACCCTCACCACCCCAAATTTTTTTCGACAATTCATACAATTTCTGCTCGTGGGGTTTCGCAAAATTCCGCTCTTTTCCCTCCTCCTCTTTGCTAGCATTGTTCTCGTACTTCTTCCTCAACCTCCTAACCTTATCAGACAACTGGGTCTTGGTCACATCGACATGTAAAGATTTTCTAATAAACTCATGGAATGCAATCATGTCCGCAACTGGGTCAGCCCCTTTCTTCGCCATGTACTCGATCACACCCTTCACAATCACAATCTCATCGTCTTCACTCCACAGTCTCTGAAACAACTGCTTCTTCGAATCATCCTGAGTCACACTGGAAATCTTCTTCTCCGAATCACCATTATTGGAATCCACTTTTTGTTTCGCTCTTTTCGACTCCTTGACTACACTCCCCGCCGGCCTTTTGGCGGGTTTCGCCGAAGTTGGGGAACTGGGTGGCAAACTAGGTTTGGATCTCGGCTTTTTAGTGGGTTTGCTTGACTCATCCATGGGCTTTGAAGCAATGGGTTTGATATTTGGGTCAGCTTTTCTAGACTTCTCCGGCGGAATGTCCGATTCCGATTCCGATTCAGATTCGGAAGAGGAGGAAGAAGAAGAAGACTGGAGTTTTGAAGGGGTTTGAGAAGGTTGTTCTGGTTTTTTCGGAGCTGATGGCTTTTTGGTAACTAGAGGCGTGGGTGCCGAAGGTTTGGGTTGTTGTTGCTCTTCTGATTCAGACTCCTCTTGTTCTTCGGATGACCCTTCTCCTTCGTTCTCTTCTTCTTCTTCAGAGTCTGAGTTATGAGGTGGGTCATGGTCAGACTTACGGTTTTGGGCCATTTTGAGAGAGAGATAGAGTGGAAGATGGATTTACGAGCTAGGGATTCTTTTACAGAGACGAGAGAGAGTATTGTACCGATTGGGTCGCCTCGTTGACTTTTCAGCTTCTCATTAACGGGAGTAACGAGGGGTCGGCATTGGGTCGGTTTGGTCCGATTAGATGGGTAGCTATCCAATGGACTGGCCTTATAGGTGTTAAATGGCCTATAAATCGAGTTTTAAAAATTTCACTTTGATGCATTGTTTCGGTTATCTATAAATTTTTATGTATTTCAAAAATATTTTGATTCGTTTTGAAAATATAAGAAAAAAAAATAAAAAATTTAAAAATTATTTTTCTAAAATATTGATTGAACAACTCAAAATATTGTGAAACACCTCAAATTATTAAAATTTTGATTACCGGTGGAAGTAGACAAAAATTAAATGTAAAAGCTTACCAAATTATTCTATTAACTAAACAGGAAATTTTATTATGATATTAATTACAATTTTTATCATATTAAAATCGTATATTTAACTTTTTAAAATCAAATCTTTTCAAACGGGTTAACCCATCTAATAAATCATCTATTTTTTTATATTGTCTTTTCACCAAGTTTATATTGATTAGTGTAATATTTTTAATATTCTCCAAATATTTCATTTTTTTAGATTTATTTAAATTGAATTACAGAATACTCGTCAAAAGTTGATATTGTTTTTTTGTTTTTCACTAATTTGGTTGAAAAAATTTGATTTAAAAAGGTGAATAACCTAAACGAACTATTTTATTTTTTTTAATTTTTTTATCTGCACATATGATACTACTCTGTGTGCACAACTCTTAGTTAATTTATATAATAAAGTACTTTATAATTCAAATTTTAAAAAATAAATAAAATAATTTTTTTTTCGTGGTTGAGATCGCTTTAAATTTTATTTTAAAATTAATCTAACGGCTAAAATTAACAATCTAAAATTAATAGGAAAAATAAGGTCTTTAAGGGTATGTTTGGATTGACTTATTAAAAGTACTTATACGAATTATTTATAATTAGTACTTTAAAAAAAAATAATGTTTTAAACTGCGTCACCACTACACTCTATCACCACCGTCGCCACTGCTACCACCACTGTCGTTTGCCATTGTCGCCGCCGCCACCACTACCACTGTTATTGTCGTTGTCGTCATCACCATTGCCACCCATCGCCACCACCACCACTGTCACCCCTCCCCCACCACCATCGCCACCGTCGTTGTTGTCACTATCATCACCACCGCTGTAACTGTCGTAGTCGTCACCACAGCTATCGCCGTCGCCGTCACAACCACCTCAATCATTGTCATTCACCACAACCATCGTCGTATCCTACCACCATCACTGCCGCTCCACCACCTCTAACTCCAACTATAACTGATACTTAAATTCATTTATTTATCTTCTATGTTTATGATTTGATTTTGGATATGAATACAAATATATTTATTGTTTATCATTTTTTATTATTCTGTGTTTTCAGACGCAGACAATAACTAGTAATTTTCTATAATATAAAATAATACAAATTTTAATAAGTTTATTCGACAATTTTAAATAGGTTCATTCAACGGTCACTAACATCTCTCAAAATTATTTATATTACACCGTGTCTTCAAGTACGAATTACCCTAATAACTAATAGGAGAGAGAATAAAATAGAATTGTTTTGCAATTGGGGTACTCAAAGCTTTTTGACCAACCCAAGAATTCCAATTTCTTACCATTACTTCTTTTCTTCTAAGTAATAATAAAAGAATGGCTGATAATCATGATTCACCGTTCAAACTTTATTTGAATTCGATATATATAAAATTTGACTTGAACCTAACTCGTTATTTTAAATAATATTTTAAATTTAACTTATCTATATAATAAAGTAGAATGATTTTGAATTCAAGAGACAAAGAGTGGCTCAGATCGTTTCATACCCAAAAAAATCATAATCCAACGGACGGCGTTATCTCAAACTGTCTCATGTTATTGACGTCTCAGATCATTTTGATCCGATGTACCATATTAGTTATTGAAAATTTTTTGCCGCTCAAAACTTTTAGTTTCCAAAAACTAACATTCATAAATTTAATTCTCCAATCCAATCAAATCCGGCAATTAAGCGATCTCTCATTCCTCAACTCTGTCTCTTTCTCCCTAAAATACAGATTACAATTCTTATCATTATTTCTCTGATTTTATTTCCTATATTAAGGAATCACTTTCTATACTGGGACATTGACTTCCCCTCACACTCTCATCTTTTATGATTCTCTTTCCAAACTGAGACACATTTCTTCCCAAAATTTTATCCTAATGCAATTGCTCTCCATCTTTACTGTTCATATCACACACACATCTTTACTGTACATATATATAGTACACAGATCGAAGACTTACTATATCTACATGTTATATCTTAGGGAAAGTTTCATCTAAACACCATGTAGTTGAGTCTAAATTCAATGACAACCCCTATAACAATAAATTTTGTCTCTATCAGTAGCTAAAATAATAATTTAACTAAATATTTGATGAAAATACTAAAATTACTCTTTATTATGTAAATAGACTAAAATGTCATCAATTTTTTTCCCATTATATATACGCTAGCCAACCAACAAACGTAATTTCAATCGTTATATTATCCCAATGAATTTTTTATTTTAAAACGTCGTATTATAACTTTGTTATAATATTAGTCATCATATTATCACTCATTTGGTTACATAATCAAGTTTTTATAATTTTTATATTTTTTTATCAAAATAATTTTTATAGTTAAAAATAATTTTTTTATAATAAAAATTACAATTGATAAAGTCAATGTCAAAATCTCATTCATTTCGAATTCCTCTGTTATCATATGTTCTTATATCTATACAAATCTATTTAATAAAACACACAGGAAGTTGAATTTTATCCCCTATATATTTTTCACCCCCCTAAAATCATCACATCACTTATTTCTATCACATGCTCAACCATTTAATATTTGATTAATTTATAATTTAACATAATTTTTATTTCAGATATTATCGATAGTATAGATCTGTTAAAAAAATTTATCAAATTACATATTTTGAGAAAATTTTGTCAATATTTTGAAGAAAATAATGGGTAAAAATAAATTATGAATGATTAATCAAACAAATGAAAGAAAGAAAAAATATTATTTAATATAGTGATATCGATTTTTTAAAACTCAAATTTTTTGTTCTATCGTGCCTTCAGGCACGGGTTATGACTAGTTTATATATAAAAAAGTTAAATTATTCCAAATTTAATTTATTTTTTAAATAAATAAAATTTGAGTATTTTTTTAAACTCGTACAAAAAATAACTCAATTCAATTTCGCAAAATTGAGTTGAATATCAACTCTAACAATAACTCAAATCAAAACGGAGACGATATGCACAACAGTGATACAATCACGCTCAAATACGTTCTCTTAAATGAAAAAGATTTAAGGGAAGGTAATGTGGAAATATATAGTGTGAAGAAAACCTCTCTCCCTCTCACTCTCTGGATGGGTCTTTGGGTCGTCTCTTGAATCTGGTGGCTTCTTCAGCTGTCTACCAATTTGGGTATTGAAATTTTTCCAATCTTTTGTTGTTGTTGTTGTTAATTATCAGGTTATACTGTAAAAGTAGTGTTCGACTCCCCCAGCATTACGGGATCTTGGCAAGTTATACAGTATAATAATTGTTCATACATCACATAAACATAATATCACTGGCATTTTTCTTAGGTCTGAAGTATTATAGGGCCAGCATTGGTAAACATGCTTGTATGTCTGACTTTGGTGTGGGTGATTTTTTTTTTTTGGTGGGGTGGGGGGGGGGGATTGTGAAAGAAAGTTGAAACATTGTTTTAGTAGTTTCCTCCATATATTATAATTATAAGCATCCTCTGGCTTTGTTGTGTGTAGATTTATCTACAACTCATCAAATTGGGGACTCAACCCACACACACCCATGTCATTCCTAGTTTTAAGTCCAAATGTTTGTTTGTTTTGATATGTTTCTCAAGGTGCAACTCTTATTATTTTCGTTTTATATATACATCAATGAGTCGAACTTACTCTTAAGGGAAACTAAATGGGAGTTTGCATAATAAGGACTAGAGTTTTTCGTGTTTATTTGTTTTGATGGTTACTTTTTTGTTTTTTTCTCATGACAGTTAAATGGGATGAAAGTTATCATTGAATTGATAACTAGATGTAAACCAATGATTCTTTAGGACTCTTAAGAGAAAAATAGTCGAACCCCTTTACTATTTCTTTCTTTCAATTTCATGTCTGATTGCGAGTACTTGGTTTTCCTCCTATGTTCAAAAGCACCCTTTTTCTTAGTCACTGTTTTTTTTTCAAACAGCTGGTTTCACAACCTAATATGTTAGCTTAAAACATGGATCAAATAGAAAATAGAAGAAATATGTGCATACCATCTTGATGGGATGGGCAAAGCTTTGGGTCATGGTCAGGGATTCGACCCTCTTCAAGGCCTAGACAGCTGAGCTGATACTCTCCACCCTGTTATGTTCATGGTTGAGTTTAGAACATGTGGTGTCATTCTATATGGGTGCCTGGCTGGCATATCCTGGCCAAAGTACTTAAACACCTCTGATATAAGAAGGCAGCCTTAGGCATGAATCTCTCTCTCTGTCTCACAACACACACACACACACACTCAAACTATCCTATTTTTTTCAGTTTGTTCTTTCCTTTATTGGTTTGGTCATTTGAAGTTATGGATGAACACTGCACATTGTTCACCCATTCCTATTTTATGATCTGAAGTTGTATGTTACCTGCATGTTAGGAATTTAATTCCACATATATTATTCTACATGTTTTATGTGCAGATTTTATCCTTGTTTACAGTTATGGGAAATGCAGTTTTTTCAGTCAGGTCAGAAGTGATATCACTGCAAAGCCTCAAAACATCAACGTTACGGTCTGCAACAATTCCAGACAAAGAAAAGACATTGTTGGACTTTGAGAAGCAAGAGACTGCTAGAAACAGGAAGAAACGAAAGAACGCCTCTGCTCCTAGTACTGAACCAATGTTAGCCCTTGAGGGCTTAGAGACGCAAGAAATTGCTACAAATGAGAAAATTGAAGAGAAGACCTCAATTCCTGTCACTCAACCGATATTCCTCCCTGAAATCGTTATGGAGATTCTGAGCTGGTTGCCTGTACAGTCGTTATTGAGGTTGCAGTTGGTGTGCAAGCAATGGTATGCTCTAATGCAAGATCGCCACTTTGTTGAAAAGCATATGAGCCAGGCCACCGTTTTAATTTGTTGGTATAATGTAAATCAGCTTCCTCCTGCAGCAGATGAAACTTTTGAATTGATCTGTGGTTGTGATGGATTGTTACTCAAGAGAAGCCATTCTTCTTATAAATACCACATTCACAATCCAACAGCACGCCAAATCCTTGAACTGCCTGATCCACATGAAATCATATATTTCATCACCTTATTTTTTGTCCCGGCTACTGGTAACTATAAACTGGTCTCTATATATAATGAGAAAGAAGAATCTGGCAGCAAACGTTGCGAAGTTCTTACAATTGGAAAGGATGATTCATGGAGATCCCTTCAAATCCCAAAATTGGAGGATCATCACAAGAGGGAGAGAGTTGCAATTTTGTCAGCAGGTGCAACTGTTCATTGCATTTGGGAATCTCAAATCAGATCAGACATAGAAGTACTGTCCATAGATTTGGGAACCGAGTGCTCCACAATCACACCTTCGCCAGAGGTTTTGTTTCCAGATGGGAATGCATATTGGGCTTTGGATTGGAATGGGAAATTAGCATTTGCTGATAGAGTGAAACAAAATCTCCGGGTTTGGGTATTAGAAGATTACATCAAGCACAAATGGGGTGAAATGGTGGTTGTTCCCTTGAAATTAAACAAAGATATGGAGGGGGATCTTCTTCCCCTCTTTGCTCAGTACGACAATCTGTGGTTCCGGTTGAAAGGTAAGCAAATATTTTCTTATAATATCGTTCATAGACGTATTGGGCACAAACTATCCGCGCCTGGAGGGTATAAAATATCGAGAAAAGTCTATCAATGCCCTCCTAGCCTGGTTACTTTTGAAGGAATGAAAGGAGAAGATGCCAGCTAATTAGCAAATCTGAACTTGGTTTGCTTAATGTTTTCTTTCTTAAACATTTTCCATAATGGTGTGTTGCATATAATAAGTGTTAATCCCCTTAGCCAGCAAGTATTCAAACCTTTCTATCCTGATTTTTTAGTGTTAGATTTTATTCAATGACTTGGTATAAATAAGTCCTTCTGAGGAAATGAATATTAAACTAAATTATCTTTTGTGTTAGCAATTTGCTGTGTTACCATTGTGTGCTTGCTCAATTGGATGGTCTGCAAATGTTTTAGATCACGTCACAGCAGCAGATCCTGTCTGATCGGGTGAATATCCTATGCTACTTCTATAGTTTTGTATACTACACATGCACTACTGTTGTGGAAGTTCTGTATCGCAAAACTCCATTGATTTCATTTGAAAACGTTTGAAACTGAAAGCATTGAGCTGTAGCGCTGCTAGATGAGGTGAGTTTTTGAGGGGTCTTCTTCTATCAAATTCCAGATGGAGGTTAAAGAGGCTTCCCTTAAACAAGATTTTCTGGCCCCTTTGAGCTAAACAACAATCCTTGTAATTGCATCTGGAAACCGTTGGTGAGTCATTGACAGTAACAATCAAACTGTTTCTCAGTTTTTATGTGAAACACCATAGCTTTTGTGTAAACTGTCTAATTTGTAGCGTAAAAAGGCAGCTTAGTGCATGAGTCTCCACTACCACTATTTTTTAATGTCTAGTACTTAAATGGTCGAACGCAATACGCTATTCTTAATATCCAGTACACGAGACCCCTCATCATATATGCACTTGGGCCTAAAAGAAACTTCATTGTAACTTCAAAATTTCATGGGACAAATTGAAGTGTCTTGTTATAAGAAGGGCAAAGCATACACCAAGATACATGATTCGTTCTAACCGAGCTGGGCTAGAACGTCCTTCAGTGATGATACAGTTGCTGCATAGTACTTCTCTGCTTCAGGGGTGCTCTTAATCTTTGCAGCATGGTCCAGCTGATTAAAAACAGAGGAGAACAAGAAGAATGATTAGAAGAGCTGCCACACAAATTCCATCTTTCAAGCACACAATATATTAAGGATGTCAATCGAGTCGTATTGTATCATTTTCGTGTCACGTAGAGTTGTCATATTCATGTTGTGTTATTTAAGTTTGTGTGGTGTTCATGTCAATATACATGTTATAAAAAACTATTTGGTTCTAAAATAGTTCTTAACTTAGATATTTTCTTTTTCACACAACAGCGGCTTAACGGCTTACTCGTGTCAATCGATCGCGTCATTTTGGGTTTATGGCGCATTACATACATGCTGTGTTCGTGTTAATGTGTAAAGTTAACATCCCTACAATATACACATGGCTCAACCAAATTTTTGGACCATTCATCTGATGTAATCTGTGCAAGGAAATGAGTTTGAACTCACATTGCTGATGTCCTGGAAGAGCTTTCCGGTGAGTTCTTTCAGAGGTTGCTTTTGCTCTTTCGGCTTGGCGGCGATGACGGTGTTGAGGTCATACCGGAGGTACTCTGCCCTCAGCCTGAGGTCATTCTGGACGTATGGCCAAGCTTTCTTGTCTATGAACGTCTTCACACCAAAAATTTCCTTGGCAGACTCCTTTGCCCTCGCTGCTGCCTCGGCCGGTGACAGTGGTTGAATGAAGAAACGATTTTTCAGTGCTAGATCAAGGTCTCTTGGCTCATCTGAGTTTAAAGTTCCAGCTGCCCAGACACAAATTTTTCCGGCGCAATTGCCGGAAAAATGTCAAATGCTTGTCACCAAAACATTCCAATGAATCTAAAAGTTGTTCACTTCTCCGGTAAAAGATCCTTGAAAGCCATTGATTAAATTGCTGTTAAATGGAAGTTGAGTGAATCCGACACAAAATTAATTAATACGGAATTAACTTGTATGAGTGGTAAATGGATGGACTCATTAGATTCATAAAATGAATGAATCAACATGAATTCTTCAAACCCGACTTATACTGAACCCAAATTTGACATGTTGAGAACACAATTATAAATTAATCTCACATGAGTTGAATAATTTTGATACTGACATGAAATCAACATGAAACTACGGATTGTTAATCCTAATTTAGGAGAGGGACGGGGAGATTCTCACCTCGCTCCTCCGTACTAGAAACTTGATTGAAAAAAGAAAGAGGACACTTACGCAGTCCACCAGAGGGTGGAGGGGGCGGTCCAATCTTGATGGGCTTGGCTTCAGCAGCCAGTACGGCCTGGACAAAAGACCCGGAGGCCAGGCCAGCAGCAACAAGGCCCAATACAGCTCGGCGGCTGGTTTCAATCTCAGATGAACCTTGCTGGGCTCTAACAGTGAACCCCGGTCGGGAGGTGGCAATTCTGCCGCTGCTGGCGGTGGTCAGGCGGGTTGTCGAGCCACTGAGTTGGAGGCTGCCTTCCAAGACAGCCTGAGAGGAGCCAAGTAAGCCTGCCATTGAAGCCATAGCATGGGCCATTTCTAAAACAGTTTTCTATGTGATGTTGAAAAGCTTTTGAGGAAAGTTGGGAGGAGAGAGAGAGGTGGGATAGTGTAATTTATGTTGGGGACGTGTAATGGTGGATGATATTTGTGGTTTTTTGTGATGTAGATTGAAGAGAGTGAATCACCTTATCTGGCTTTTGGATATGGCTTTGGCCAATGGTTGTTTGAGTTATTCACAAGTTGGATTAGGTTCTATTGGAGCAATAGCATCTTGACATGTGGACCATAGGGATTGAGCTTCTTTTATTTATTTATTTATTTTTTTAATTTCCTTAAGGTTGAGTAAGGTTCGAGGGTAGCTCTTCCAAGATGAGATCTTTAGACAATGGTTGAAGGGAGATATTTGTGTGATTGCTTCGGATTAAGATCATTTCCTTAATATCTACAACACAAATCTTCGACGCACATCATCACCTAAATTTCATTTGCATCAATTCAACCCGAATTGAATGAATGGTTAATGGAGAGAATTTGGATTGATTTTTGGCTGAATTATAGAATTTTATTATTGATTCAAGTTGATGATAAGTATTATGATCACGCATTAGTTAAAAATAAAATTAAATATGTGTATATGAACTCTTGAATATTCTTCCCTTGTAAGTCAATTTTTCAAAGCAAGTTTTATACCTATATATTCATAACAATTAGTATCAGAACTAATCATTACATCAAGTATGAGAGGGTGACCTATAGGTTAGATTAAATGACTTGGTATGATGTATAATTTTAATGCTATCTCATTTAATACAAAAATAGTTACCATTAAGTCAATGTGAACAGATGGACAAATTTTAAATCTAGACGTCCTGAATTTGAATATTAGTAATTATTTGAAATTAAATCATGAAAAAATTTACCTTAATTTCAGCGTAACTAACGTTTCTTTAACGGAACTCCTAACCGTTAAAAAAATAGAGAGGACCGCCGTGGGGTCATAACACAATATGGATCGGTATACTGCCGAAAATTAGAACAAAACAAATTGTCACTAATGTTATCACATTTTCTGGTAGAATTGTAAATAGATTGAATGAGATTATTTTCACCTCACAAATCTCTATTCTCACTTTATTTAATTTTTTATTATCAAACTACTAAGTCCACTTTTTTTATATTCACTTCATTAGTAACTAAATCCACCTCGTACTGTATACACTCCATTAATAGTTAAATTCACTCATTTTATATACATTCTTTTAATGAAATAAAGCATCATAAGAAAAAAAATAATGAAAGAAGACAATTATTTACTAAATAAGAAAAAAAGAATGCATAAATATATTTACGAAATAAGAAAAAAAAAAGAATCAAACAAAATTGAAACAAGAAAAAAATACAACAAAAAATGAAACAAGTAAAAAAAATCAAGCATGTTAAAAAAAAACCAAGCATGTTAAAAAAAAAACCAAGCATGTTAAAAAAAGAAAAAAGAGAAAAAAACGAAAAAAGAAAAAGAAAGAAAGAAGTAGATCGAAAAAAGAAAAAAAGAAAAAAGAATGAAACAAGAAAAAAAACATAAAGAAAAAAACAAATCGAAATACGAAGGAAAAAAATTAAGCAAAGATTTAAGGAATAAGCAAAACTACAAGACGCAAAATTGAATATGAAAAAAAATAAGCATCAAGCACAAATACAAAATCAAACAAGACAAAAAAAAAGAAGCATAAATGTAAAGTCTTACCAAGATAAACAAGAATAAATAACATACATATATATACACACACATATAAATTTTAAATAAAAAATTATTAAACTTGATAAAAATATCAAAATATATCGAAAATAATAAAAATTTATATAATAAACATGAAATCAAATATAAAATTAAATTGAGAAGTAATACTAACTTGTATTTGAGTGAAAAAATTCATATTGAAGAAGTGTTTTGTGAGTGCATGAGATGAGATGAGATAAAAAATAAAATTCTAATTATGATGAAATATAAAGTGCATTTAGTTAATGGAATAGGTATAGAAAGAATGAGTTTAGTAATTTGATAATAAAAATTAGATGGAGTAAAAATAAAAATTTATGGGGTGGAAATAGAATCGTTTGTTTCTTAGCCTATGCTGTTCTAGTGTGATCTCGATTTTTGATTATTCTCCGCAATCCTATCGATTTACTGTAGAGACCCTGTTAATCTTTAATTTTGCCATTAAACACCAGCTAACCCAGCACCAGAGTGAGAGGGAAAGAGAGAGAGGGAGAGAGAAACCCACTGCAATCTAATCCCAGGGAAGAACAAGAAGAGATATGGAAAGCCAAGAGCAGCAAAAGACATCAAGGGTTGTTGAGGTGGACTCAAAGCAGTCATGGGATTCCTATGTAACTAAAGCCACCGATCAAGGCTGCCCTGTAAGTATATTTCATCTTACTCACACACAAAGTATTCACACCCTCTGTGTTTCTTTTTTTCTTCTGCTTCTGCTATTTTTGCAAGCCAATAGAATCCTGATTTCAGGGTTTTTTATTTTATTTTAATCTTGTACTTCCCACAGATAACTCAAAAGACTCCTCAATTGATTATTGAATAGCATCCCTTGCTTCAGTGTCTTGTTACTCTCTCTCTCTCTCTCTCTATTGCATTTTGTGATGTACCCATCTCAGTGATCTCACCCCTTGACGTCTTCTTTTTCATTTATTAATTCTTTTGGGGTAACTGTTATATATGTACAGATATTAATCTAATAGCCAATCTCAGGGAATTTTTCTTTTCATTAATAAATTAATTTAAACACCTAGAGATGTTAATCTATCAGCCGGGATCAGCTAATTAGACAAAGATGACATATCTGGTGATAATTAATGAGGTTTTAATACTACTCTTTATGATTTTTTTATGAATTGATGGAGGGGTTGGGGGATTTGTAGATTGTGGTACACTTTACTGCTGCATGGTGCATGCCTTCGGTTGCGATGAACCCTTTGGTTGAGGAATTGGCATCAACTTACCAAGATATGTTGTTCCTCACTGTTGATGTGGATGATGTCAAGGTAATTCATCTCACTTCCTGAAATTAAAATGATTTTATCTTTCATTTTCAGCTATAATCTGTTCTGCATTGGGGCATGAATATTCATAGCATCTTTTCACCGTTTGGAAATTTGAGAGATGATATAGATGTTCAATATTCTTCAGTTTGATATTTAATTGGTGGTGATTAAACGTTATTAGATGTTTATTGTTGTTTCGGGAATTAATCTCTCCAAAATGGAGTAAGATTACTTACTAGTTACTTATTTCAGACTTGTCATAGGCGTAAGCCTTGTACTCTGAGTACGACCCTTTTTTAGATATTTATTGTTGATCTGTTTTGGTAGGAGGTAGCAACCAAATTTGAGATTAAGGCTATGCCAACATTTTTGCTGATGAAGGAAGGTGCTCAAGTGGACAAGATTGTGGGTGCCAATCCAGATGAGATAAGGAGAATGATTGAGGGTTTTGCTCAGCCCAGTCGTGTGTACGTGGCCTAGTCACCATATGTTGGTTTTGTACATTCATGTGGTTTGTGATATTCCAGCTTTGTATTGAAAAATGACATGGACGTGGATAATAAGTGCGGTAAGTTTTTTTTTTTTGGGAGGTGGCGGAGAGGGAGATTGTCTCCCTCAAGTTACGAAAATCTTCTGTATTATACTACTGTTAGCTATGAATACCCTCAACCCATACGGGCTCTTGGATCCATTCCTATGTGTTAGTGTGTATATCCTGTCCTAGATCATGTAATTTGTTATGGAAGTTCTTGTATGATTACTTTCTGAGAAAAATGTATTCAGAATTCTGCCAATAAGCAATATTAAAGTTTGTAAAAGGCATTCTTAATTTGTCCTAGTTTCTCAGATTATTCAATTTTTGTCCTAGTTAATCTTTTGAATCTTGGATGAAGGTATGATGGATTCTGGATTTAGGTTCACTCTTTCGATCTACAACTCAAAATCTGTTCAGCAAGCTATCCTAACTCAGGGGTATGCCGCATGCCATTTGGTCTTCACAAGATGGATTGGGTAAGAAGGGGAAAGCAATCAAAATTGAATATTACGTCTAAATGCAGTTAAAATTGATAGCCATGTAGACTTGGTTTGTGCGGGCAACATGATCAACTTTCTAATCTCTAACCTTTACTAAACTTTGACTATATGTTTATTTTCTTTAAAATACATTCAGTATTCAGACATAAAACACTAGGTATTAGGGCTAAGTTTCAAATATAAATGCTCTCTAAACTAGCTTGAAGCACTTGTTGAACATTGATCTGATGTAAGAGTTCCTGTATCTACCAAACTCATAGTAGACTGATCAGACATGAACAATCTACCAACAGAGAATGGAGGTTCTGATGGTTGGGGAAGGTTTGTCAACTGGCCTCCAAGCATGAGAAGAACCGATTGCATGGTGGGGCGATGAGTAGGGTCTTCCTGAACGCACAACAACGCGATATGAATCCATCCCACAGCTTTGCTTACTGGACAAGTGTCGATTATATTTTGATCTAGCAACTCCTGCATTCTGCCTTCTTTCCATAACAGCCATGCCTGTGAAGTGTCATGTGTGATTTAGTTCATCATTATATGAGACATACTTATTAACTTCAGTAGGTTCATGTTGATCAATGAGTTAACCTACGTATGATGGAAGGCTTTGGGCATGGTCTGAGTGATAGAAGCCACTGCTCTTCGTTCCACTTATAACTTCAAGCATCAAGACACCAAAGCTGTAAACATCAGACTTTGTCGAAAACAATCCCTCCATTGCATACTCGGGTGCCATATAACCACTACCAAAGATGACAACAACAAAAAATTCCGATTTATGGTTCAAGAAAAACTAGAGAGAAAAATTATTGCAGGGTGAAAAAAAATCCTGGTTTATATGGCATGCAATGTTTATATGCTTAATATTGACATTAACAATATTAGAAAACACTTTGGAAGTACTTTAGTTAATTATTCTATGAAATCACTACAACTATTGCCAACAAGTGTTCAACCTTAACAATAACTGAGAAAAAAACATGGTTGTAAAGGTCTAGATTGTAGATCTTTGATGTACACGACAGAAAACATTGTTGTACTTCAAATGGTCCCTAGTCAGAGCAGGTGCAGCCCAAAAAAACAAGCACCTTGATAGTGTCATGACTAGAGAATTACTTCACTTTGGCAGGAGAGATCAAGTTGATTTGTCCCACAGTAGATAGCAACAAGTAAGCTATTTGAGAATTGCGAAAGTGGAAATGCACTTACTATGTTCCAACAACTCTGTTGGTACTGGCTTCAATTTGATTGCCCCCAAAAATCCTAGCGGTGCCAAAATCTGATATCTTTGGGTTCATATCATCGTCCAACAGAACGTTGCTGGCTTTCATATCCCTATGTATAATTTTGAGGCGGGAGTCCTCATGTAGATAAAGTAGTCCCTTTGCTGTTCCACTTATTATATTAGCACGCTTTGGCCAGTCCAGTTCCTTGCATTTTGTTGGATCTGCCCTTTCAAAAATGAATTTTAGCAGAAATAAAGTCTGTTAGAATTATTGCCACTGTATAACTAAACTATATCAGAGAGAGAGAGAGAATACAAACCAAAAAGAAAGGCATCAAGACTAGTGTTGGCCATGTACTCGTAGACAAGGAGCTTTTCATTCTTGTCGATGCAGCAACCCAAAAGCCTGACCAGATTCTTATGTTGAAGTTTTATGATTAACTTCACTTCGTTCTTGAACTCTTCAAGCCCTTGCCCTGAGTTTTTAGAAAGCCTTTTAACTGCTACTTCCTTTCCATCATGCAGCTTGCCCTGAATGCATTTCATTAATCTGCTTAAGCAAAACTACAATTTACTATTGTTTGAATATGTTGAGATTATGTTCTTTACCTTGTAGACCGGTCCAAATCCACCTTCTCCCAGTTTATTTGCTGCCGAGAAATCATCTGTAGCAGCCTGTATGGTAGCTAGGTTGAAGTACTGCATCTCTTCGTTTTTGTCCTGGTCTCTCCCATGCACACTTCCTAATAAAATTTCTTCCCCTGTTTCAGGATCTGCTGACAAATGAGAATTGGATAAAATGACAACTTCACCATTCTACATGATTAAATTCTAACCTTTCTGTCCTCTTTTTCGGCGAAGAGACAGGTAAACACAGAAACCCAAGATGGCTACACCTGCTGTCGTTGATACAGTGATGACTGATATTTTTGTTGTGTTTTTCAATCCTCCGTTTCCTGTCATACACTGCATAAGGTTATCATACTATCGAAACTGAATATTAGAGAAGTTTTATCTTTGATGATTTAAGTGACTGCTTAATTAGCTAGGAAAAAAATTGAAATACATGTTGAAACATGGTCTAACCATGTTTTGAATTACATTTCCGTATGTACATTAGTCCTCTAATGTAGAGGGATCTTGCCATCTTGGTCATCATACGACAAAGAAGAGGCATAGAAAGATAGAACTTTAACCCTCCCCGATCCTACACACACAAACGCCATGAAGAATAAAAGAAGGCAAGGCACATCTATAATATTGTCAAAAACATATAAAGAAGAAGAGATGGACAGATTAACACTTTTCTCAAAAATTCAATTTGTCATGGAACAAACCTATTTATGAGAGCAATGTTTCATACGCCTCTCTAGTAGCAGAAGTTGGTATAGTTGTAAATTAAGTACTTGTAGAGGGCTTATACTTTTTCAATCCCACCATTGATTACTTGAGCTTCCATGGTTAGATTACACTTGTTTGTTTGAGGCTCTAAAAGGCTTCCATGGTTAGAGTTCACTTTTGTATTTGAAGCTTTAAAAAGTATAGCTAAAGGTGGTAGATCCATGATATGTATGAAACATGTTTTAATCTAATTGTGAGCTTGAAGAAATACAAATCCCATATAAAAGTAATAGGAGCCAATGTAACACTTTTTTACCCTCCCCTAAGTTTACCACTTTACATTCCCATTTTGCCTGGTTTTTCATGTGTATTGTAAGGAAGATTTTGTCATATAAATCATGTCATGTGTGTCAATTTTTTTTTTCATGATGAAGTATGAAAAGCTAAATCAAAAGTTTTGACTCACCTTGATCATTTGGAGGCGCGGGGAGAATTGGTGGTGGTGCTGGTGGAGCAGCCGCTGGTTGCAAAAAGTTGTACTGTTCATACCTGATATAGCAACTGGCTCCCAAAATACGCCACCCTACGCTCCCTTGTGGTATACTCAGGACAAGCTGTTTCAAACAAGCTCCACAAGCGGTTTTATTTATGTCTCTCGTACACTGCACCATCCCATACCGATCCTGATTGCCATTAGGCAAACTATTTGCAGTGTACAGTTTGTCCGTAAGCAGACTATCCGATATCAGTAATTGTATGAAATTCTCAGCTGCAGAGTTTTGTGGATCCTCAGTCGAATTAATACCTTGGGAATTATATAAAATCAATCTTGGTTGAGATTGTTGTTCTCCAAAAAAGTTGATATCTGAGTAGCGGATCATGCAAAAATCATACCATATGATTGTGGTTTTGTTCGACGGGCATACCCTGCTGATCTCTTTTCCGGCGCTGGTGACACAGTTCTGACAAGTAGATGCGTTAACGTCGCCTCTGCAGAGGAATAGACCATGGATATCATTGAAGGTCTCATTGTAGAAGTCCATGGAGGAGGCTGCTCTGGATGACAAAGAGTCCAAGAGGGAAGTGCGGTCAGTTAGGTAAGTGGTGGTGGCTGTGTCATTGTCGCACTTGTGATAGAGTGGTTGGCCATGAACACAGACTATCTGTCCAAAACCGAAGATCGAGATCACAAATAGTATGTATGATTTGAGGTCTTTGAAAAGCAGCATACTTTTTCTGCTTCCAAACGGAATAGTTAGATTTTGTCTGTGTTCGACAATTCTGAATATTACCCGTCAATTCAAAGCGAAATCGACATAAAATTAGCTATTGTTTGGACATAAACAGAGACAATCTGAGCAAAGATTGAGATAAAGAGTAGTATGTATGATTTTTGAGGAGAAGCATTACTTTTTCTGCTTCAATTGGAATGGCTGGTAAGAGAATGTGTGCTTATAGCTCATTGTTTGGTAGGACTATTAATGTTCCTATTGTTTTGAGTAGTCGGGACTGGGTCAATGATGTCTGCGCTTCTGTGGTGCAAAGCAACATTAAGAGTATGCAAACAATGTATTTCAATGGTCCATGGGGAGATAAAAGCTGTTTGGTGCCCAGAAAAATTCAGTCTCCTCAAAAAGGGCTAATTGCATTTTTCACCCAAAAAGATTTTAAGATTCTTACTTCACAATCTTAAATATTAAAATTTTACATTATACCCTCAATATTTCAAAAGTGTTGTAATACAATTTTTCTATTAGCTTTTCGTTAATGTCAATGGGATGAATTTTGACGAAAAAGCTAATACAAAAGTCATATTGCAACAACTTTTATACATTGAGAGTGTAATGTAAAAATTTAATTTTTGAGGGTATAAAATAAGAATTTTAAAATCTTTCAATACAAAGCGTAAAAACCCCCCCTTCAAAAGGTACTTCTTCTAGAGGAGCTTCTGAAAATCCTCTAGTGCTAATTTTTTTTTACCACACTTTTCAATGCTAGCCATTATTTTTTATTAGGCAATAACTGTTTTAGCCTTACTTCATAGCTAATTTGCATGCCCTAGATTATAAAATATACATCAAAGGAAAACAATCCTACCAATAGAACACGTTGCATAGTGTCGGCCCTAAGCCTAGGCCATTAAGCCTACCGCCTAGGGGGTCTAATGTAATATGTATATTTGGGACTCCAAAAAAAATTTAAGGCAATTTCAGGGGTATGAAAGTGTGAAGTTAATAAAAAATCGATAGAAAAATAACGAGCTTGAGTTTAGCTTAGTAGATACAAATGAACTTTATAGGCCTCTCAAATAAATGAGCCAACATAAATCCGACTAACACGACTTATATATAGTATAAATTCAACTATACAAGATTATAAATAAAATCAGTATAAATTAATTGAGGTAAGAACTACAAAACTCGATAGTTACATAGGTAAAAATAGAGCGAGGTTCATAATTTAGGGAGTAAAAGTATAATTTTGTGGTGGTTCACTACTAGGGGTGTAATTTGGGTTGGGCAACCCGATTTTAACCTGAGCCTAACTTGAAAAAATTAGGGTTTGGGCAAGGGTTTTTAATACTTGGGCTGGACTTGGGTCAAAATTTTTAACCCGAATTTAATTTGGGTTGGACTCGGGTTAAGGCCTCCTGAACCTGAATTCAATCTGAATCCAACAAATTTAAAAAAAATAAAAAAATAAATATATATATATAACATTAGCACTGATTTTTCATTTTTATTTTATCGTTCTCTTTGCCTCTCTCGTTCTCTTAGTCTCTCTTGTTAAAAACTTGGTTGAAGTTATTAGTTATTAATTTAAGTGAATATTATGTAATATATGTATTAGATTTAGAATAACAAACATATTTTGGCCTCTATCCAAATTGAACCCATAAAGTAACTCGAAATCATCAACCTGAGCCCGCCCGAATTAAACTCGGGCAGTGTTCTGGTTGAATTCCCCAACCCGAGGTAGGGTTAGCGTTAGAGTTAGAGTTAGGGTTAAAAATTATATACTTAAGATTAAGTTAGAGTTGATTGTCTAACCCGTCCAATCCGCCCGAGTTGCACCCTATTCAATACAACAAAAAGAACCTTGACCGGTTATTTGGTTGGAGAATGCCCAAAATTATCACCGGAAGTTGAAAACTTGGCGCCAAAAGTGTGGCAATTTCCAAAGACAATTTCTGATTCAACAATTGAACCACTACGAAATCAATCGATTTACATTAAAGATTTTGATGTGATTAACCACTACATTTACTGTCTGGATTTGCTGGAATCAATCGAAGTTGTACACTAAAATGAAAATTTGATCTCTGGTGAAATATTCAGTGCAACAGTAAACATTGTCACGTGGTATTATCAACTAAAAATATATAAACAAATAAGGAAGTGAACTTCATACAAACCAATAACTATCCATTCATGTAAGCCAATAGAAAAAAAAAGTTTTGCTTACAAAGTTTTTTAACCCAAATGATGTGATACAATTTCCATCTTTGAATATTAATGAAACTTACTTATCTGATGGTGAAAAATTGTGGCACATCATTTAGGATGGAGATTTGGGTTATCCTTAGAAAAATGCTACGTGAATTTAAATGCTAACTTGATTTGTTGACTTCATCAATCACAATCATTGAATAAGTAATAAGTTTTAGTAAATACTGAGACTTACACTTAAATCAATGACAGTGGTTGAACAAACCAACAAATCAAGCCAACATTTTTAAGTCCAAGAGGTAATTGCTCAAACCAATAACTACCCATTTTTTTTTTTTTTGTGATGCCAATTTTTACTCAAGTGGGGGTTCACTTTATCCCTCTGGTATTCTATTATTAATTGACGATATTATATGATAATACTGACATAGTATCACCGTTACATTACATATTTATTCCTATTAGTGAGTGGTGTTACCTTTATGAGTTGACAAATTCTTCTATAACCCCAAAAAAATCTGTATATTAAACGTGTTACACGGGTCACATTTGGAGCCCAAATAATAAAATTCAGGAAAAAAAGCATAATGGAATAGATCCATATAAAATTGAGCAATACAATAAAATTCAAATGAAACCCAAAAAATTACAATCTAAATGCATATTATCCCTTAGATAAGTAAGCCTTATTATCTTTTTTGGGTGGGACTCAATCATCTAACACTCATCCAAGAAATCATATGTAATTAAATTTTAATATTTAAATTTTATTTAAATTATGTAACATTTTCTTATATATATATATATATTTTTTTTTTTATAATAGGGGCTTATTCCACATGAGAATAACCCCTCAAAAAATAGGCGTATGCCACTATATACAACGAGTATACAGTATTCTTTAGTAAAAAACAAAAGAATAGTTTGCTTTGTGGTCAGTGCACGGCTGCGTAGCATTTTCTTATAAAATTTGACCATTACCTTCTAAACTTTAGTTGATTGAACCATTCAATCTTCCTGAATGGCCCATGATTGGCCTCTAAGTCGGTCATACCCATTTAATGAACCAGGGTGCAAAAGAATTTGTAACATTTGAGGGAGACTTTTCAAAAATCTAGCTTGCTGTTTTTCATAACTTCTAGGTGGATTATTTTATTTTAATGATTAAAAGTTGTCCGTGCAGTCTTTTAATATTTTTATATCAAATCAATATAAGTAGTTAGATTAATGAGCCTCATTGGCTTCGGTTAAATAACTAATAATCATAAAAAATTAGTGAAATTAGTATTGTATCAATTGGTACAAAAAAATTAGTGAAAAAAAATTGGTGTATACAGTTTATTCGTTATTGACATTGCAATAAATCAATAGAGGGAGGATTTTTTAAAGACAGTGTTATTAAAATTGGATTGAATTAGCCGGTTGAATTAGGGCCTTAAACGGTCCGAGTTATAAATTAGATCGTCCGTGCAACTGAACCATCTAAAAACCCGTAAAATTGACCGATATTTGATAAAACCAGTAAATCGGACGGAAGGTATTTCAAATCAGACGAACCAAAAGCAATTTCTTATAAGTTTGGAGCCTGGAAGATAACATAATGTAGTCAATTATGTCATGTGATGCAGTGTATTTCTTCTATTAGAGCATTTGAAACAACAAAAGTTAGTTTAACTATCTAAAAAATAATATTCTTTATTTTAACTACTTAATTTTTTAATATACATTCTAATAGAATTTTTATATTTTAATTACTTCTTTTAAATATTATTTTTCATTTTTATACCTTTTGTTGGTATTGTTGGATGAGAGAGAGAGAGAGAATGGAGGAAAAAAAACAGAGGTGAGAAAGGACAGGAGCAGAGAAAAAAAATTATAAACTATTTATATAAGTTGCTACGGTGACACTAAGGTGTAATACATAAGTTTAAAAAATAATTGCCACGCTGTTAAACTTTAAAGTCCCTTCCTTCAAATCTCGTCATTCCTTTACTGCAATAGTAGTGCCCGAACAAAAAAAGAAAAAAGAAAGACACTTGCACTTAAACCATACGCATTGTGTCGATAACAAATTATTCACCTCAAGTAGTAGCAAAAAAAAAAAACCTTAGACGGATTCACCTTGCTCCTTCTTATGGAAAATGTTATTTGAACTCAAAAAATTGATACAATTTATTGATTCCATCGATCACAACTATTGAATAAATGGTGAACCTCAATAAATACTGGAACCTACAGTTAAATCAATGACAGCGAGTTAATTCCTCGTCAAGAAGCAGCTGACAAATTTAGGAACTCCCCGTCCATTGACACCTATTATATACATAAATAGAATTAGGATAATATTAAACTAATAACAAAATTTTAGTCTGTTAAGGATGATGCAATCCACACTCGCTCTCAACTAGCTTGAAGTACTTGTTGAACATTGATCTGATGCAAGAGTTCCTGTATCTGCCCCACTCATAGGAGACTGATCAGAAATGAACAATCTACCAACAGAGAATGGAGGTTCTGAGGGTTGGGGAAGGTTTGTCAACTGGCCTCCAAGCATGAGAAGAACCGATGACATGGTGGGGCGATGAGTAGGGTCTTCCTGAACACACAACAACGCAATATGAATCCATCCCACAGCTTCGCTTACTGGACAAGTGTCAATTATATTTTGATCTAGCAACTCCTGCATTCTGCCTTCTTTCCATAACAGCCATGCCTGTGAAGTGTCATGTGTGATTGAGTTCTTCATTATATAAGATATATTTGTTAACTTTAGCTAGTTATATTGATCAGTATCTTAACCTACATATGATAAAAGGCTTTGGGCATGGCCTTGGTGATAGAAGCCACTGTTCTTCTTTCCACTTATGATTTCAAGCATCAAGACACCAAAGCTGTAAACATCAGACTTTGACGAAAACATTCCCTCCATTGCGTATTCTGGTGCCATATAACCGCTACAAGAACAAAAAATTCCGATTTATGGTTCAAGCAGAATTAGAGAGAAAAACTATTGAAGGGTGGAAAAAAATCCTGGTTTATATGGCATGAAATGTTTGTTTGCTTAAAATTGAATTAGCAATATCAGAAAACACATTGGAAGTACTCTAGTGAATTATTCAATGAAATTACTACAATTATTGCCAACAAGTGTTCAACCTTAACAATAACCGAGGAAAAAAACATGGTTGTGAAGATCTAGATTGTACATCTTTAATGTACATGACGGAAAACATTGTTGTACTTCAATATGGTCCATAGTCAGAGCAGGTGCAGCCCAACAAAACAAGAACCTTGATAATGTCATGACTAGAGAATTACTTCAAATTGGCATGATAGATCTAGTTGAATTGTCCCACAGTAGATAGCCACACAGAATTGGGAAAGAGGAAAACACTTACTATGTTCCAACAACTCTGCTGGTGCTGCCTTCAATTTGATTGCCTCCAAAAATCCTAGCAGTGCCAAAATCTGATATCTTTGGGTTCATGTCATCATCCAACAGAACATTGCTGGCTTTCATGTCCCTATGTATAATTTTGAGGCGCGAGTCCTCATGTAGATATAGAAGTCCTTTTGCTGTTCCACATATTATATTAGCGCGCTTTGGCCAGTCCAGTTCCTTACATTTTGTTGGATCTGCCTTTTCAAAAATTAAATTTTAGCAGAAAGAAAGATCTGTTAGAATTATTTCCAATGTACGGCTTAACTATGTCACAGAGGGAGGGAGAGAGAGTACAAACCAAAAAGAAAGGTATCAAGACTAGTGTTGGCCATATACTCATAGATGAGGAGCTTTTCATTCTTGTCAATGCAGCAACCCAAAAGCCTAACCAGATTCTTATGTTGAAGTTTTATGATTAACTTTACTTCATTTTTGAACTCTTCAAGACCTTGCCCGGAGTTCATAGAAAGCCTTTTAACTGCTACTTCCTTTCCACCATGCAGCTTGCCCTGAATGCATTTCATTAAACTGCTTAACCAAAACTACGATTTACTATAGTTCAAATATGTTGCAATTATGTTCTTTACCTTGTAGACCGGTCCAAATCCACCTTCTCCGAGCTTATTTGCTGCCGAGAAATCATTTGTAGCAGCCTTTATGGTAGCTAGGTTGAAGTATTGCATCTCTCCACTTTCGTCCTGGTCTCTCCCATGAACACTTCCTAACAAAATTGCTTCCCCTGTTTCAGGATCTGCTGAGCAAATGAGAATCAAATACAATGATAACTTTGCCATTCTATGCGATAAAAGTCTAACCTTTCAGTTCCCTTTTGCTGCAAAGACATATGTAAACGCATAAACCCAAGACGGCTACACCTGCTGCTGTTGATACTGTGATGACTGCTATTTTTGTTGTGTTCTTCAATCCTCCATTTCCTGCCAAACACTGCATTAAGGTAAACATAATATCGAAACCAAATATAGAGTACACCTCTCTGTTTGAGGCTCTAAAAAGTATAGCTAAAGGTGTTAGATCTAATTGTGAGCTTAAAGAGATACAAACCCCAAATAAAAAGTTCATAGGAGACAAATCTAACACTATTTTACACCTCCCAGCAAGTTTACCACTTTTCATTCCCACTTTGTCTGGTTTTCCATGTGCTTTGTCATAATAGGTTATATGCCAATTTTTTTGGGACAGTATGAAAAACTAAATCAAAACTTTTGACTCGCCTTGATCAGTTGGAGGTGCAGGGGTGCTTGGTGGTGGTGGTGGTACTGGTGTTGGTGGTGGAGCAGCCGTTGATTGCAAAAAGAAGGGATACTGTTCATACCTTATATTGCAACTGTTTCCCAAAATACGCCACCCTACTCTCCCTGGTGGTATAATCTGGACAAGCATTTCCAAACAATCGCGGCAAGTAGAATTAGTTATATCTCTGGTACACTGCACCATTCCATATCTAACCTGATCTCCATTAGGCAGAGGTAAACTATTTGCAGTGTACAGATTCTCCGTAATCAGACTATCCAATATCAAAACCTGTATGAAATTCACAGCTGCAAAGTTTTGTGGATCCTCCGTTGAATTAACATGTTGGGTATTATATACAAGGACCACTTGTCCAGATTGCAATTCTCCGAAAAAGTTGATATCAGAGTAGCGAATCATGCAAAAATCATACCATATTATTGCTGCTCTATTCGGCTGGCATACCCTGATGATCTCTTCTCCGGCGCCAGTGACACAATTCCGGCAAGTAGAGGCGTTAACGTCACCTCTGCAGAGGAAGAGACCATGGATATCATTGAAGGTCTCATTGTAGAAGTCCATGGAGGTTGCTCTGGACGATAAAGAGTCCAAGAGGGAAGTACGGTCATCTATGTAACTGGAATTGGCTGTGTCATTGGAGCAGCCATGGGAGAGTGCTTGGCCATGAACACAGAAGATCTGCCCAAACCCAATGATTGAGATCATCACAAACAGTGCGTATGATTTGGGGTCTTTGAGGAGAAGCATGATTTTTTCTACTTTGAATGAAAACAGGTATCATTCAACACAAAATCATCTGAGTGTTCGGACATAAACAGAGACAATCTCCGCAAAGATTAGGATTGAGAGTGGTATGCCAATGTGTGTATTTCAACGGTTGGTGGGAAAATTATACTTTCACCCATCTATTATGTTACTTGTCTCACGCTATTCCTATCAACGATTTCGTTTCTCACACTATACTGTCAGTTATGTTTATTGATGTCACCTTATTCACTTATCTATAAAATTCTTCGCATTGCAACTCCAATAACGATTATTAACACCGCATTGCACAAATTTTGTAAATATTAAAAATGCATATCTTATTACATTGGTTGACATTTTGCATTCGAAACACAATGAATGTTGGGATCGTGTGAAATCGATAATCATGGTTGGAGTACTGTGATAAACTCCGTTGTTGAGGGCACAATGTGAGATGAGAGCTATAGTTGAAGAAATTATGGTGTAAGTTGTCCTTGTATTTTGAGCTGCTTGCTTAACAAAGTACAATTCTCATGGACCATCAGCTCAGTCTCCATCTACGTCTCCTTAGTTTGAGAAAAATAGTTCAAAAATCTTTCAAATCTAATATTTGTATAAAAAATCCAGTCTCGGATTTTCAAACCCGGCATGTAACTGACCCGGAGATTAAACCTAAGATCATGAATTTCGTTAAACTTAGGGGGATGTAAGTTTGAAAAGATGGATAAGAGGTTAAGGATCCAAAAAATAATTGTACCCTTAACATGAGTTTGAATTGGATTAATCAAGTGTAAAATAGTCATTTACAAAATAAATAGTTGTTAATAATTATTATATATTCATTGGTCCTATATGTGTATGTGTTGCATACTAAACATAAATATGAACCAGATTGAATATTGAATTCTATCTTTGTAAAGAAGGGTTTGAGTTTGAAAGGATTTAAATAAGTCAATCCAAATCCCTCCTCAAAATTTATCCAAACAAACCCTAGAAGTACGACCTGGCCAAGGTTGAGTTCCTCTCCTATTGAGAATTTATATGACTTTGTCCATCTCTATGATTTAATTTTTTAATAGCTAAAAACTAAATTTCAGGCCCGCAAGAAGTCAATGTACCCCGGCTTATGCCCAAATAGAGTTGTATTATATTGGTTATTGCTATCGTGTTTCTTACATTATACCTGTAATAATAATTATTGATGAGTCTAGATTTAATTAGGTCAGACCCAATTAATTAAGTTTAAATTAGCTACAAGTCAGGCCTAACTTAATTCATAGATTTGACCCAGACCAAAGTTCAAGGAATCCAAGAAGATTAATGCACGTGGAGAGAAATCATCGAAATAGCCACTCTCTAAGATCAATATTATCTCTATTTGTACTTATCTTAGTTGTAACTATCCTCCTCAAAAAGCTAGTCATCTGTCCCTTCACGTCATCGCCTTAACCAAAATTTTGTACCTATAAATTATAAGTCATTTCTATATGAGAGGGGCATCTCTCCACACACCTTACACAACTATCTCTCTCATAACTATCAATAGCATACCATTGATTTCTTTCACCTACTACTTCTCACCTACTATTTCATCAATAAAGACCACTCGTCATTGTTGCCGTCTTCAAAGAGGAGTAAGTCACCCTGATCGAACCAATGTATATTTGTGTATTGACTGTGTTGATCTCATCTTTATATTTATTATATTTATTACCTATATTAATTATTCATGATATATAAATTCATTTTTGTGCATCGTCAATTTAATTCACATTATTCACTCAACTATCAGGTTTCTTGTATTAATCTCCCATCCGTGTTTTCTACGCTACCCTTCAAGTATCAATTTTTTTTCTTCCATATTTCAGTTCCAACTTTACTTTTCGATTTCGATGTTAACTTAATTTTAGATATTGGAAACAAAAATTTTATTACACACATTGTGCTCGAGATCCCAATTTTGTGCATCTAGTTAAGCACGTGTTGTTGTCAGTCTCCGCCCAAATTAAAAACGTGAGTGCTTAGCACAAAAAGTGGCTTTACTAAATAACGCAACATAAATTAGGCACGCTACCGCTTTAATTTTTAGTAAGGGGCGGAGTTTGGAGAAACAAAGTAAACCTAGAGTAACATTTTCTTTTATAAAAATTAGTAATGCATTACGTGCGTCGTACGTAAATAATTTTTTTTTAAATAATATAATAAATAAATATTTAGTATATGTGTACTTAAATTAAATATCATCTTAAATTTACCAATTTTTTTTTTTTCATCTCTCATGGTCCATTATAAAATTTTTGAAAACTTGTATATTTTCAAGAGTTGTTGTTCTAACTTTAAGAAAATAATTAAAAAAATAAATTAAAGTTATATTTTATTTCTATAATTTTGTAATTAAAAGTGATTTTTTATTAATGTTTGAAAATTAATTTTTTTAAATTTAATTTGATTAAGATTCACTTATAAATCATTGAATAAAATAAAAATAATTATCATTATACCAATCACATTGAAATCTTACTATTTTTAGTATTATCTAGATTAATTGGAATAAAATTTAATATACAATGTTATAATATATATTATAAAGTATATTAATTTTTTTTTTTTTGCAAAAAAAATTGAGATTTCACATAAAATCTTAACACAGTCTGAAAATTTTACTACGACTAAAAAATCATGTAAAACTATATATATATATATATTATTTTTTATCTTAAAAATGAAAGAGTTAAATATTTTGATAAAAAATAAAATAGAAATATGTAGTTATAATATTATCTTTATAAATGAGGTAAGTAATATTATATTGATGAAATTTTTAAAGACTTTTTTAAACATTTGTTAAAACTTATAATAATGCATATACTTTTTAAGAGTAATATAATCAATCAAAAAGTTTTATAAAAATTAACATTTATACATAGGGAATATCTATACTACTTATAAATGTTTGCATCTGTAAAAAACTTTTGATTTCCTATTTCACCCCTAATTATTACCTTATAAACAATTATGCCCACAAAATAATAGCTAGATAAATTTATTTCAATGACTTCCAAATTTTTTGCTACATAAACTTTATTACTAATATTCCAAATTTTTTGCTAGATAAACTTTATAACTATATATTAGTTAGATAAACTTTATCTCAATGATTTCCAAATTATTTGCTAGATAAACTTTATCGCTATAACTTTCCAGGACATTCTTTTTTTTTCATTCAATTGACAAATTCAACTAGAATTCTAATACCATGGGAAAAAAATTTGTAATTTTTTAGGTGATAAACACAACCATCAAAATTTCATTATTCATTAGTATATAATAACATATAAGAAGAGTAAAGAGTCAAAACCATATATATATATATATATATATATATATATATATATATATATATATATTTTATACATGTTAGACTTCTAAAATATTTTAAACTCCTTTATTAAAAGTATATATAGATAGATAGACTTTTATCTCTCCAGTAACACTATTTAACGTATTTTGTCTTATATCACTGCAGTAAATTCTTTCTTCAAAATCTATCAAAATTAGTGGCCTTGCATCTATATCCCCTTGATGTTAAACATATTATGGCTATGCAGATTGGTGGGTTGATGGTGCTTAGTGTCGTCAACCTATAAGCTTTTTTTTTTCTCTGTCAGAACATGCCTACTGTTGATATGATTTTTTTTTACTTTGTTTTCCATCTGTTTGGGTATGGTCATTGCATAAATGCTCTGTCTACCTTGCAACAGTTTTTGGAATTGGAACTAAAATTAGTTTGTGTTTAATTGAATTGGTGTTCCCATCAAAGTGATAATGAACCCCCCCAAAAAAGGGACTTTCATTGAATGAAGAGCTTAATATGTGTTGGAGATTAAACTAATCTCCTAATATTTAATTGTTTATTATTAGTAGGTTTGTAGTATTTTAGGAATTGTTATTATATTACGAGTATAATTAGTTTTGTTACCACACTTCTTAAATTTTTGTGGTGGTTGAATAGTTTTAGATTAGTAAATTATATTTAGAAATTTTTTCGATCTTGTGTTGTAATGCCAGAAAATTTTATTGGATTCAAGAAGTCAAGAAGTCACGTGTAACGCACATGTGCATTACTAGTATAATTAAAAGTGATATTAGATGTAATTTGGAGATATAAATGCATAAGAATATGATGATAATTTAGATATTAAGTGTGGAGGGATATAATGATTTTTTTAATTTTTTATGGGGGTAAAATAGTGAATCAAAAATATTTCATATTAAAGTACTTTTATTAGTAGTATATGTATAGATTTAAATATAGATATGATGAACACTTTGTTTAGGATAACGTGAATCCAATTCACATAATTGAGGGTATAATTTTTTTTATAGTTTATTAGAATAGGGATAGAGTAAGGACATTCTCACCTTTTACGAGTGGCTGTCAATGGGAGGATGTTGGATGAACTTACACGAAATCAATTGACTTAGACTAAAGATTTTGACGAGACTAACAAGTACATTTTACTTTCTGGATTTGTTGTAATTTATGGTTGTTTTGGATTTTGATTGTGTTAATTGAGGAATCTATCATACGGGAAAAAAAATAAAAATTTTGGTACTATATTGTTATCACAAAATTTGGGATTTTTTTAATTATAATTTTCGGGTCATTTATATCTTTTATAATAACTTTGGCGAAAAAATTATAACTCAAACTTTAAAAATTATAACATGAATTTTTTTTTTTTTTTTTGTTGTTGTAAGCAAACGCAAAAACTTATATCAAAATCCACAAAATTTGTAAAGCTTGGTGGTACAATATAATTTTTTTTTATTTATTTTTTATTTTGATACCGTAGTCTTCTCGTGTGTTAATAAAGAATTACATGACTTGGTGGAATTTAATTTCTGGTTTTGACTTTTAACCTCATATACACTCTGGTGGTTTTCTCAATAATATATGGCATATCTAATTAGTATTTACATTTTAGTTATGTTTTGTT